TTTATGTGAAAATTTTATATGATTTTAACAATAAGCTTGTGTAACGACGGAAAATAAAAGTACTGTATTGAGGAACACAAGCATGATGCAATTAAGATATAAACTGATAAAAATATTTAGGTCTAGAATGGATAAAGTGGGAATTATGATACCACAAAAAAAAATCATTGTATACAGGTCACATAGTATTATTACAGTAGTAAAACAGTATGTTAAGATAGGCTACACATGCAGCTTGCATGGGAAAGACAAGGATTCATACAGCTACTTGGAAGATCAAGAAATGATGGGAGGATAAGATTTAGATGGCTCTCAGAAAGTTTGGTTGTGAAGTGGGAGGTGACTGGAAATGACTCAGGATTGTGTCCATTTGCTTTGGCATTCATTCTCTTAAGCTTTTATGTTCTACTATCAGAGAGTAAGATGCAATATTTCTAATTAAAAAATTGGTAGCAGCACGTTGAGTTTATGCTGAACAATTTTAATGTATACACTTTTGTAAGTTTTGTTACTGTGCACCAACAGCGTGGGAAAAAAACGGTTAGATGCAAACCTAATATTCTACTATTAAGTGAGTCAACAATGCAGTACAGCAGCTGCTTCAAGAAAGTCAGTCACCTGTCCCCCAGCCCGAGTATATATCCCACCATTGACATAACTGCCAAAGAGCGTGTGTAGTTTGTACGGCGGTCAAACCAAACTTCTGATGACGGTGATTTGAGCCACAAGAGGCGAGACAGGTCATCACCCTGTGTATGTTCCAGTGCATGTTCAAACACCTCAACCTTCTGCATAAGTGTCAGGTGATCATAGTCAGGAGCCATCTGCAATAAAATACAACAAAGAAATGTGTTTAAATTTATTGAACATTCTTTTAAGTTTATTAATTGCATCAGAATGTCCACAAGGAATGTATGTTAGAAGAAAACACAAACTTCATAATACTAAAATACTGATTACATAGACTTGAAAATTTATTACTCTGAGCATGATCCTGTGCTCAATGTTGAGCAGAATTTTCTTCTTCTCACGATAGTCCCGGATAAGCGTGTGCAAGGTATCACAGTGAGGGACCCAACCAATCAGACCGCTGTTGGTGGACAATGGGATCACAGCATATCTCTAAAAGGATGGGACGAAGAAAAAGATTATTTTTTTTACAGACGAATGCAATAAATTCTAATTGAAGTTCCTCCCTGGAAAGTTCCACACTTATGTTCTGTTTGCAGACACTCATTTGTCCAAGGTCCATTATTTCTACTCTAAGGTATTTTTCCCCTCAGTATATTTCAAAAGGCTGTTTATGAAGAAGTTTCTTAAAATGTTTTCTAAACATTTAAGCTGAACAGCTTTTACATTGAGCCCTACACCAAGCAAGAAAAGCCGACAAACAGAATATCCATAAATCATACTTTAGTATTTTATGGTCACTGCCTCAAAAATAATACTATGTACTGCCTGGCTGTGATCACATTCTGAATGTAGTAGTTCAGTAATTAGCACTCTTGCTTATCTGGCAAATTCAAGTTCAAATTTTGGCTCACAGACCAGAAATCATGGCTTTTCACAGTTTTCCCAATTCCTTCAGGCAAATACTGAGATGGTACCTTTAAGTTGACTGATCAAGTTGAAACTATGACGTACTTAAAAAGTAACAAAAAATATGTATGTAATGCTTACCTGAATTGTGAGGTTTCTGCGGAAAGTGTCAGGATCATTAAGCAGAAGCGTATTGACTAGACCAAAAAGCTGCATGACTCTCTCATCCTGTCGTAAGTCCTCATGACCCTTTAGCAAGAACATGTAGTCCCGACCACTGCTCCCTGATAATAACGCACAGAAGCGTGACAAGTCACAAATATGCAAAACCTTTCATATCACTCTTTATTCTTATTTTTAATGCAATGCAGATGTTCATTATATTGAATTTTTAATGATCATCCTGTCTGCCCTAAAAAGGATATTTTGCAGTTTGAACATGATTATACACACACACACACACAAATGGTATAGAACCTGGTGTAATGGTGAGATTTTTTGAACATAGTAATGGCTCGATACTCCATAAAACAAAGTTAATTTTCTCATCATCAGTGTTGATGCCAAATTATCAAGGATGACCCAGCACCATGGGGCAAGTTAGTACTCAATTAATTTTACCCTTGATGCAGAGTTTGCGTGGTCGCTGTTTTGATGTGATGACCTGCAATGAGCTCTGGATCTGTGCAATTCTAACCACAGGCTGTCCTGGGATATAGCTGCCGGGTACTGCAAGCTCCAGGTCTCGGCACATTAGGAGTTTTGGGCTAACATACTGCAGCTCTAGACTGGTCAGTTGTGGCAGCTGGCGTGAGATTCGTCGGAATACGTGGTAGTACAGATCCCATGCTTGATTCAAATCTCGTACATTGCCAGATACTTTATATCGGTGGCACCACTCTTGTGCCTCCATCAGATCACGTCCATATGCCTACACAAAACTGCAGTTCTAAGTGAACGTATACTTTCATTTATTTGTAAGCATTATGCCACCTTTTAGACATGAGCAGTATCATGGTACATTTGGGGCTATGATATTCAGAACAGGCTACTGCTTTTATGGGAAGAGTGCTGCAATGTATAGTGGTGGCATAGTACAAAAAATGTATCTGCCACTCATTTACAGTGCTTACCATTTTTTTGCACATCACCTGGATACAACCACATACAGAAATTGACTGTAATCTTACTGTCAGACTGAGACCATATCTTTGTTCACACATGGAGAACATACACACGTTATAAAAAAGTTCATGTTTTGTTATGTATTTTTTAGACCAATGGGAAGGTGATAGAATAATGATGGAAGCAAGTAGCCAGAATAGACCAAAGTACGAAAAGAAAGGAACTTTTAGTTCCAATGAACATGAAAAAATTCCAGCTATTGTGTGAAGAAGATAACAGGGGTAAAAATAACTATGATGAATTCTAGGTGGGATGGACTCACTTTGAGATGGAATCAGTTAAGCCACTTACAGTATCAGAATGTTAACTATTACAAATAATTTTATGATTAATTAAATTTCTTTCACAAATGTGTGCAAAATGGCACATACCAGTGAATTTTTACAAAATGTTTAGAGTTACAGTATGACTCAACATTACAGTCTAAAGAGGAAATGTGACATAAAAATTTCAAATTGGGTACTGTATTCATAACAAGATAATTAAGAATTTGTATCATCCTACAGTCATACAAAGTCATCATAAATATTTTACCTGGTTAAAAGAAGTTTCCTTCAGGGTCTGAGGACCTCTTTCCAACATGGCATGAAGAGGTTCCAAGGTGTCAAACATTCCCTTCACATTGCGTTCTCCAAAATAGAGACGACTTGCTTCTTCCAAACCCTCATGCCACAATTCATGCCACAGAATTGCTACTCGGATCAACTCATCACTCACCTGCAAATAGAACTTGTTAGAATGAATATGTAATAACATTTTAATTTCATTTTTAAATTTAACCCTCTGCATAAATGGTTTCATAATGAAAGAAACACTATGTTGTTTCTTAGTAAATAATACAATGGTTTTATGATTAAACTAACTTGACTTAAATTGTTGTGTGGTCCAGCATTTGTTGAAAATTTTTCAAGACAGTGTGATATAAATGTGTCAATTTAAGAAATGAAGCTCAGTTTTCAAAATTAATTTTTGGTGCATAAGATGTCCACTTGTTAGGCCAGTTCTGTTAACATTTCCAACACCTGTTTGTTAAAATGTAGCACACAATAATGCAAAAACTTATCTTTCTCCAACCTCACATCTGCTATGCAGTAAGTCCCCCAAAATATTGGTAACAACTTATAAGACTACACACCACCATACAACAGGAAACCACAATCCACATTTTCAACACTGTGAAAACATCAAATCTCATGTTTGGCTACCTCATATACCAGAAAACAATCATAATTAAATGTGTAAAGCAGAGAATTACTGGCAGGAAGTAAGACTGCCTACTTGAATCTACTCACCTAATTTTAATCTCTACATTACTTAATATTTGTTTTACACCAATGGATGATTGTTCAGAGAACAAGACAATTTGTAACAGCTAAAGTAACCACAGGCAACTCAAAATTCATTAACAAATTATGGGTTCATAGGTGAAAAAATTTTCACTGTTTCTTCCCACACACAATAACAGGACCATGGAGGAAGCTAGAAGGTTATGTAACAATATGACCCCCTCAAGTGGAAATGTCAGTGGATGATGATGATGCTGTACATAGATACCAAAAACAAGGAACCAAGAGCTGGATTACTATGCAAAGAAATTCGCACAGCACCAAAAATCTTTAGGGCATGAGTTATGAAACAGAAAAAACTGACAAAAAACTACTGGTACTTATTTAAATTAGGACTGGCTCAAAATATGCATGTAAAACCTGAATTCAAAAACACATTCTCTTCTAATGCAAGGGAAAAGTAAAACCATGACTGACAAAATATATAATGGACAAGGCTTTAAAATATAATACATTCTAGGAAATGTCTACAGATCTAATAGAAATATCATGCTATTGGCACAAATGGTGACTATAAGTAGCTAGAAGTAAAAGTGTTATAGAATGGTGTGTTACCATAACTGCCTGCTGGACCAACACAGGACTGTGCTCACACATGTTCTTGAGGATCTTGTTTGCTGCATTGCGTCTTGCCATGCTGGCAGATTTGCTGGCAACTGTCAGGGGATAAACCAGAGCTTGTGGATGATGTTTACCAATGTCTATGAGAAGGTGATGAATGAGTCTGCCTACCAGGGCACGTGGAGTGTCAATTCGGGCTATCAGCTGAGGGATCACCTACAGCAACATAATACATTAATACATGTAGAAAAGGTACACCAGATATTAGTGCATAACAGGAAGGTTTTAAAAATCATACAGATTTACCTGAAGCCATGTATCAATTTCAATTGTACGAATTCCCTCTACAATGGCATCATACACTTCTGGCCACTGACCATAGTCAAACCAAAGTGTTAACAACCGAAGTGTATCTTGCAGTGAACTGCCATGCGACAAGGCAATGGAACGGAAGAATCCCTCCACTGCTGGCACCGTGAACTGGGATATATATATAGAACTTGGCTACAAAACAAAAATAGTAGATTATCATCACAAGATTCTGATATTTACTGTGTTTTCCAATACAGCTAACCAAGTAATGTTTGACTTTGTTTCAGTAGTTTTCACTTTACCATTATTTTCACAACCATGGATAAAAAGAAAGTACATCTCTAAGAACATAAATAAAGGTCAAAGAAAGTAGAGAAGACAAAATTAAGTACCAGTTGTTTGCTGCTTCACTTAACAACTCTACATAAAATATTCAGGCTATGACATGTCAACAGAAAATGGCAGGATGAAAAAACAAACAAACAGCAAGTTGGTCAGAATACAGGACAAAGAGGCTGTGGCATTTATTAAAATACTACCCTGACATTTACCTGGTGGGCTTAACCCACTGCAGTTTCCGCTGAATGGCTTGTTGCTCGGCCTGGAGTAAATGACAGGATCAGAGCAAGTAGCACAAGAAAATATATAATGACAACAAGACCACTGGCTGTGGTGGTGTACCACTGTGGACATTACTGCTGTCCACTAGTACAGCCTGGTATTAGACTCCAATGGAATTAGAGGGAGAGAGATTATCTGTCACCTGGCTGAAATTTGATTCAGAGACCTCCTGAATACCACTATACTGCATTAGTCATATGCTTCATAATTGTGAAATATTTGTCTCATTTAAGAATACAAATTTTCTTAAAACTGTCACTGATTTAGAACATACTTAATAAGACATGCCCATCATTTTTAAAGGCCCTTATACAGAACATAAGTTCTGATTTATGAACAAAGCACACTTCTCACACCAAATTTATCGAAGGCCACTGAAAGGACTTAGGCGTTTAAGATACAAAGTGTTTATGACGCACATTTTTAAACAATTCAAAAATTTGAAGAACTTACAAGTCCTGCACGAGAAGTTGGGTTGGTATCAGCTTGGACCCTGTTAGCTGTTCCTCCTACTTCATTTGTTTGCTGCTGTTGCTTGTAAAAGAGAACTGTTTCAAAGTTCATATATGCCCATGCATGCCAGGCCTTGTACCATGCTGCATCATGGTCTGTGGCT